TGTCGGTTAAGATTTTCTGGAACAATTGTAACGAGCTCTTCTAAGAAGATAATATCGGAAAGTACTTGGGAAAAATATAACAAAAAAGGTATAATGGCAACATTTATTAGTTCAAGAAGGTTAAAAGGTTTTCAATTGTTTTCATTTCTTTTGAAAACGAGCGTGCTAGGGAGACCCAACTTGCATTTAAGTCTAATGCCAGCAGTTAGTTTAGGAAAAATGATGTCTTCAGTTATAGGAAGAGGTTCACCAAAACGTAATATGTCGCTGTTCTCTGAAGACTTTGATGTATAAGAAACTTTCTCAAAAAAGCGTCTTGAAGGCTATAGGAGTGCCATTTGTCATGCAAGCCACGAAGGTGAAGGTTTGATAGAAAAGCAAGTCTTTTAGAATCATTATTCATTTGGTTTGGGCCATGCATTCATTTCAGTGACATTTTTAAATTCCTGAATAGGTGATAAATTTCCATGAATATAAAGGATTGTAAAACCTTTTGTAATATTTCTTATAGAGATAATGACATATACATATATTACCTCATTAGGGTGAACAAGAGTTATAAAAAAATTGTAATCAGTTTTTCTAAGGCCTACAGGATATATTTTCCTTGTTAGCCACCAGTGCTAAAGAGAGTAGAGTGCCTTTGTTGCTTGAATTTTTCTCTTTGTACTGGTTACCTCATTAGAGTAAAAAACAGTTAGAATGATCGGCCTTTGTAAGACCTACAGGGTATATGGAAGTATTTCACTTGTTAGCCAACATTGATAAAGAGAGTAGAACCCTTTTTTTCACTTAAAGTGTTCCCTTTATACTGGTTAATAACGCTTCTTAAGAAGAACAGGCATAAATACTTAGAATAATCTTGAAATTTTCTGCTCCAATAATTATCTAAATATTGTTTATGACTGGAGTCAAAATCAATGCCCTCCGATAAAGCTTTTATTGCCGTTGGTGATACATTTCACCAAGGTTTGGCGTGTGAAGTTATTTATTCTACTAGATGTATATATAGCAGAATACACGTAAAATCGTTTTTCTCTGGAATAAGTTTGAATAGGAATGCGGAATGAAAAATGGGAAAGGAATGTACCTACAGCCTTGCAAGGACATGTAATTTTGCTTACACAATTACCGGTAATAAATTCTGGATGACCACTATTATTAAATTCAATTGCTGAAATCTTTTCGGAACCTCTAAAATTATTATCAAGGACGTCGATTACTTTATTTTCATCCTAATCTTTTTTAAAAAGCAAATGTACCTAATCTTATTCAATAATATCATAGCACGTGTATATGCTACTTACGAATCTAGCACCGTAAACATTAGTATATTCATTAAACTTAATATATATATCTTTATCTAATAAATTCTTTGCTATTTCAAAAGGATTCTATAATATTTCTAAGGTAGAAGCTTTTTTTTAAATTAAAAAGTTAACCGTCTTTTTATAATTATTAAATTGTACTTACCTTTAGTTATCGAAGGTAAAGATATAAATAAAAAATTAAGATATAACTTTGAATAATCTGAGTTTTTTAATAAAAAATTTATTGTTTATTAAAATAAAACAATCCTTTAACGCAGCCCTATTACGCGGACGCAAAAAATAAAGACTATTTTCCCGTGTAATTAATAAAAAAGGTAAGAATACTATATATAGGCCCCCCGCTCTTTAATATAAAATATTTTTACTAAAACAAAAATATTTGTTTTCTAAATGGACAATGAATTGAGATTGTACAAATGACCCAGTTAGGCTTACGTAAAAAAATGTTAAATTTTTGCTAAAAGTAGTTATAAATAATAAATGAGGTTTTATAACTTATAAATATAAACATTACATAGTTTGGCATAGCCTTTAACAACAAAAAATAATAAGTTTTATATTCTTTTGAAGACTCCGACTATTAGCGTGGATGTCTAGCAGCAAAACCACCAAAAGTCAAGAATCAAAATTTATAGCTACTACCTATGATCCCATTGGAAGAAATTGTTTAGTGGTTCTCAGTTTGTAACTGTGATAAATTGTAATTAAGTAATAATGAAATTATTAGTTAATGATTATTGAAAACGAGTAATCTAATACTAGTAATAAAAATATAATTAAGTCATTTATAGTTCGGATTTAAATAATTACCATGTTAGTGTGATATTTAATACATATAAACCTCATCCCTTTACGTGCTTATAGGCAGTTTTTAGCTACAAGTCTTTAAAAATTTTTCAGAATAACATGAGTAAAAACAAATTAAAGTATCATAACTTATTGTAAAATAATTTTAAAAGCTATCTATGTAGATTAAAAAATGGAAGTTCAGTTTTTAAAATAAAGGTTGGGGCTATAATGTCACGGCTAATATAATTTGGTTTTCTCGATAAAGATTTCCTTTGAAGCAACTATTTTTAATTACTAAAACGCCACAAAGGGGACGCTTAGGCAATGAGACGTAGCACCAATAATTAACAGTATTGAAATTAAAACAGGTTTAATTTCCACAATAATTAGTGCTTGCTTAGCCTACTCCTATTGTTAAATAACTTTTAACTTTTGTGTTTATAAATTTCAACTCTAAGGTGGAAATGAGTCAAATTTTTTCTTAGCAACTTCCAGCTTAAAAGTCATGTAAAAGTGAGTTAGTGTCAACTAAAAAATTGGTGCTTATGCTAAATCTTAAAAACTTTTAGCAATATATTATAAAGAAAGCTTAATTCAACATTTTAAAAACACTTAACTGCTTTCAGTTACAGAAAGATTTGATAATATAACTAAAAATGTCACTCGACCTAGCTAAATTCTTGGGAGGAAATCCTAATAACTACAACCCTTTTTTTCTAATAATGAGGTTAAACGCTTAAGGAGAAAAAAGTGTAAAGCAGGTGCTATTTACAGGGTAGTCGGCACATTAGTGCTACCGTTTAGTATTGTTTGTATTAAGGCGCTTCTCCGGTGGAGTTAATTTTTAAACCATTCATCAGATTACTCTTTCCACTTCTCTCAGACGAGCAAAGGCGTTATTCACCCTAAACTTTAATTAAATTTATAAAAAATTCCCGTTAAATAATCTAGCGTAACCTACTTTTTTTTTAAAAAGAGTGATTTCAGTAACTGGGTTGTTACTTATGAAGCAAAAACCGGGCATAATTAACCTATCGATTATGAAGGAATCTAAGAAGGTTATTGACACTGTTAAATTGTCGGTAGTTCAAAGTCGTGTTTGCCTTTGTCGTTGTTGGAGGTCCAAAACGGTATTTCTTTATCTAATTCTACTTTTTATCTACTTTTGTATTTTACTTTAATTTGTTATATTTAAAGTCTTTTTATTAATTTTCTGCGTACTGATTATTTAGTTTCCTAAATGTGACGGATCTCATATTGCGCATAATGCGAAAACTGGTGATAACGTGGGCCCAGTTATTGTGGCCTTGGAAGAACTTAATCCTGAAATAGTTTTCAATCCATAAATTTCATTTATACAAGATTTTTGAACAAATTTATTGCGTGCACTCTTTATTAACTTTCATAAAGATTTTTAAGTTTTTATTTAAAAAATTTATAAGAAAAGTTAAAAATAATTTGAAACTTTATGTAGGGTGAAAGTTAACGGTTAAGATTTATAAAGTAACATTTATTTATTACGATTTTGTATGACAAAGTTGTAAACAAAAAGTACAAGCCGCCGTATTTTAAAAAATTTTAAATAAAAGTTTTTCGGCTATTAAGTTAAATGATTTACGAGGTAAATTAAAGTTCCTCAAATACTAATAATTTTCTTTTTTTATATAAAAAAAGAATTTAATAAAGAAATTTCGAATAAGTGGTGTCTATTTGATTTTATCTTTTTTTCAATTCCTTTGTAAGTCTGTGTTTTGAAATCCATGCAGTATAGATTTTGTGTGAGGTTTACTTTATACAATAGGTATTGTTTTACTTTTTTAGGAATATACAAAATTTATGAACTTATAAAGAGATGAGCTGAGCTTTTAAGCAATTTGCAGTTTAAATATCGTAGGGTTTTTATAAAGATTACAAATTGACCGACTACAAAGACGTTTCACTTAAAATAAAGGTAAAACTAATATTAAATAAATATGTTAACTGCTTTTAAAACAGACAATAAGGGAGCTTATAACTAAAGAATACTAGAGTTTAATGGGTACAGACAGAGACTAATTTAAATAATAACCTTAAAGAGATAAAAAGTTTTCAAGAAGGATAAAGAGACTTTATTAATAAATAATGAGTTAATCTCTACGGACTTCTCAAGTATATGTTAGTTACCAGGACGATAACCGTTTAATCTAGAAATAGTGTTATTGTTTTGCTAAAATATTGTTTGAAAGAAATGTCGCGTCGAATAAAGTGGGTGTATACGAAAGTTTTTTATAACGATAAGATAAGTCAAAGGAGCAACAACAGCAATGCTAAACCTTAAATCCTAGCAAAATGCTTCACGCTAACCACATATCTATTCTTGGACGCTTATCTGCATATTAAACCTTTTAGCGTTCTTTAACCTTTATAAGAAACCATGACATAATAGCGCCACGTATATGCAGACAGAGATAGCATTTTCATATATGGGCTGCCATGTATAATTTAATAGTTTTTATTTCCATTGACAACTTATTTAATATAACTTTAGTAGAGACTGTCCTAAAATGCCGACCTGAGAAAAATGGTATCGCCAACCTATTGAATTTTACCATCTTAGGGTTAAGCTCATGTGTGAAAGAATTGTAGAAATATTAAAGTATGTTCTATAACTTTGATTTAATATAATATTACTAAGAAAAGGCTCGTATTATTAACAGATTCTTGTTGTTAAAGGAAAGTTAGCCTAGTGATCCTTCAATACATACTAACATTATCGAATCGTTAAGGAGAAGTACTGAGTACGAAAGAGAACTCTTTCGCTGTGCCTTACACTATTTATTAATAGTAGCTTCTTACCCTCCAATTCCTTTGAAGTTAAATTTTGCTGCCTCTTCCCCTCTGATTTATACTTGCAGTCATAATTTTTATTTGTTCTTACTGAAAAAGGTACTTCAAAGCTTAACATGTTAAGCTTCCTATTTGTGGCTTGCAATAGTATTATTAGATTAATACGCCTGTTTATATACGTAATTTTGTTGTCTCCCGGATTTTTTAAAGCATATAAGTGGTATTTCACCAGCCAACTCGTTATTAGGAATATCAGATATGAAAGGTTAAAACCACCTCACTAGATTACAATCTGAGTTGTCAATTGTGTAATAGTTTTAATGTAAAAAAAAAATTATTTAGTTTAACCTTTATATTCAACAACACTTTTAAATAATAATAAAAATATACAGCCACTTTAGTAACAAACTAAATTATAAAATTGATAAACAGAAAAAATCGAAATTATTTGGATATTTACTTGCCTTCCGAAAAGAATCTCCGCAACTTTCCGGTTGTAGTACTCATATTTGGTGGTAAATTTATTGAAATAAAGTTTTCGCCTACTTTTGTATTACACAGCTTTAGTTAGCGTAATATTTCTTTATTTGCAGTCCCTAACTTTTATAAATAGGCGCTTGGGTTATTGGTTACAAAGCCTGGGGTGCTCTACTTGGAAAATATTTAAGCCAACACGGTAGTTCTCATTTCTTTTTATAAAAAGTATATAAGTTATACGTAAACTCTTAGGTATACTTGTGGTTATACCGGACTACGCCAACTTCCCACAGGCATTAACTTAGCTTATAAATTCGACTACAAGTTTACTGTAAAGAGCAGGGTAGAATTAACGACATGCTGAAAGACGTTGAATATTCTATAAAGTGGACTATAAAAAATTGCTGGAAGTACGGTGGTGTAAGCCTAAGATACTTAACCAGACATAATTTTTTATATTAAAAATTATTTTGTAAATCTAAGGATCCTAATAGCGTCTACCTTGCCGGTAATTTATAAAGATTTCCGCCTTTTATGCATACTATTATTTAAAGAAGGGCACTCGGCCGGCGCACATATTGCAGCCCTTTTTTTACTTTTCCAAGCTGAGCTTGAGAAAGAAAATTGGTTATCAAAGGAGAATTCCTCCGTATTATCTGTTTTTAATTTTTTTTTATATAAAGGCATTTATTATACATTGACGTTGTTTTCTGTTACTAGGAAACTCACATCGAAAATCTGACGGTACCAAAGGTTTCAGACTTTAGAGGCTTTATAGGCATTTCCGGAGCTTATGATGTCTTCCAGTACGCCGAACATTTTCATTCTCGAGGCCTCCATCGGCGCCTTCTTTCATCAATTATGAACCAAGACTTGAAGCATTATTCACCGACTCGACGACTTAAGCTATTCGCCATTGATTCAACGGTAATGCAAGTCTTCCTGGGTAGCCCGCGCCACTGATATCGTCACTTTTTTTGATAAAATAAGAAGACGACTTACTCCACTCTACCACCCTTCGCTCTTTTTCATGGGGCCTGCGATAAGAGCATTCCAGCTGACTCGACTGAACACTTTAGTGAGGCTCTGAAGAATGTCGGCGTTGTTTCCAGTGTCAGATTATACGAGAAAAAGGCGCACACTGATTTCGTTGTTGAGGATCTCATGCTGGGTTCATTTTTCTCGCTTTGGTGAGCGTTCTGCGTAGTTTTAACGTAATTATTTTCTTTTTTTTACGAAATTTTTTAGGCGGTGAAAGTCCACTTGTCTCTGACATTTGTTCCTTTATATATGCTCACTGCCCCTCAAAACACACCTCCTTCTCTTTTCTATCAAGTTCAACGCATTTCCGAGGCATATGTAGTCATAAAATTGATAATAATCTTCCTTTGGTATTATTTTGCTTAAAAAAAGCGCCTTAAACGCTAACTTCTTTTCCAGGTTTGTCGCACAAATGTGAAATGGGCTAAACGCGTAAATCCTTTCTAGTCAACTAAACGTTTTGGTTTTTTAGGCGAAGAAGTCATTATAAAATTTTTCCTTTAGTTCTTTATTGTACCTTTTACGACCTGTAGCTACTTAGCAAACATGCGCTTCTTCTAGTATTATAATTAATAAATAAAGAGTTGGTGTTGTGTGCAAAACATATTTTTTAAAGAAGTATAAATAATTTTCCGAATTCTATATAGAAAGTTTAAAAGCAAAGTTTAATTAACCTAACTGCTTTAATTACAGTCTTAATTACTCAGGTTTATAGTAAAACCCGATGACTCACGGCTTTCAGGGCTCGTCAAATTTCAATTTTACGTGATCAAATAAATTTTTAATAAGCAACGGTAGTACATCTTTTAAACTAAGAGCGCCGTGTTACTACCAAATTTATTGTTTTAGTAAATAAGCACTATTTTTAAGTACTTTATTAATAATTGTGATCTCCTTAAGGTAAAATACTGTCTCAAGCAACTACATTAGAAATGAAAAATTACTTTAAACGGTTAAGTGGGAGGGGAGAAGGATTTTACCCGTCTGTCTCCCTAAAGCTTCAAATGAAAGAGATAATGACAAATTTTTACTTATTAGGGCTCGAGGGCGCATAGGTGTGGTAAGAAAACTATCCGCACCTCTTTTTTTAAGCAAATTTATCAGTTTATATATGCAATACTTTATTCACCACAGGGCTACTTTTTTAAAACCAAAACGAAAGTTTGATTAGAATAAATAAAATTAAAGTGTGGCCGATGATATTTCAATAGTAGTTTATCTAAATAAAACCCAATTAAACAATGGCTCTCTTCGGTTGTAACCTATACATTTACAGTAAATTCAAGACTAACGTATCATAACTCCGCTAATATTACGATATACAGATTTGGCCTTGAATATATAGTTAAGTCAGAAGGGTGGTGGTGTATTAACTTCATAACCAGTGGACTTATTTGTACTTAGATAATTTCATAAGCACTGTTCGCCAAATATTTATAGTACTTTTATATTTCCAGAGTTGAGTTTTGTTAGTAAACCTCCACGGAGCGCTCACTCTTATGGGCTTATTTGAAAACTCTGGGGTTCCTAATAACCTGAGAAAAGTAGTGCCTTTAAGCAGGAGAGGTATTTATTAGAAGTACACGGTTATTCGATTCGTACCAATATACTATAGTGAAAAATATGCTATAAGTTCAGTCCAACTCATACTTTTGTCAAGTATGACTCCTAAATATTTGATATCTGAAAACCATGAGACATCTCCGTTAAGTTTAAGTTATTCATCTCTGGGCGATAAGTTTCCGAAAATATTGGGATACGATTGTAAAAAAATTCGTTCTTGTGCCGGAAACAAAATATTGTTTGGAATTAGGAAGGAAAAAGGCTTGCTTAATATTACAAATCTTTCATAGTTAAAAAAAAATTTCTTAATTTTCAAGCACGAGCCGGAGATTATTATAGTGATGTTATATATAGAATTATTATAGTGAATTAAATATAGAATGCAGCCAATATTTGTGCGAATAGAAGACTTATATCTCAAGCTATAAAGAAAGTTATTAATATTTAATAAATGTTTTTAATGGCTGTCAATGTTATGCCCGGCCTCAAATATATAAAAACTTTAGACCATTACGACAAAATAAGAAAATATTATTTTCTCTTTATACTGTGGTAATTTTACCTACAAACTTCCAGATGATAGATGCCTCAAAATTATCAGAAGTTATTGACGGAATTAGACTTGTATGAGTATAGAGGATTTAAAAGGACAGAATTTTAATCCTACAAAGGTACGTCCCTCTCTGCACTAAGTACGCCCCCTTGTCCCAGTTATAATTCCAAAATCAGATAAGAAATTTACGATACGTCAACTGTCTGCAGAGTTAAAGTCAGTGCTTCAAAAAAATTATTTAAGTTAATGCTATCGATGTGAACTTTACGGCCCATCCAAGGAAACTGTCGCGCCAAGTTGCGTCAGTTGCGGAGAAGAGCATTATTGATTTAAATATTTTTAACTTGAAACACGCATCATGTTCTGTGCTAATTACAATAAAATGATCGAGCGATCTGTCAAGGTCGCCTGCTTCCCGAGAAAATTAGTAACAAAATAAAGGTGAACAGTGGTAGCACTATAACGCTTATATAATCATATTTTATCGTACGCGGATGTTGTAAAAAAGCCTCCCCCGATCTTAATGTAAGCTGAAGAAATGGCAAAAACAAAATAATATAATCCCCATCTAGTAGTATTAACCAAGAATTGAGCTTATATGACTTTGCAAATACTCTATTGAAATGCGTTCGGTCTATACAAGTAACTACCTGAGTTTCGAAAATTTGTTACGAAAGAAGATATTAATATAGCTTTAACATGTGAAACCCAGACAAACAACTGTCATAAAGTAAATAAAGTAAATATTGCAATGACAGAGGCAAACATATGGACGGTGTTACTACAATTACCTGAAAGGCGACAAGTTTAAAGCGTATAAAGTTAATTTTTCTGTACCTTTTTTTTTTGCGGGTAAGTCAACTTTACTTTTTTTAGTATATAATCCATTAAATAAGAAATCTTGTTTCGAAAACTTAAACATACTATTTAAAATGAGGCCGGGAGCTACTTAAAAAATTATGAGTTACCGTATCATTTGACTGTGGTTGGACCTCTAAACCCACGAATATCTCCACAATAAACAACAAGGTTATATTAAATATAGCTGTAAATAAAAATTTACCCATTAGCTACTATTGCTAATTTTCATAAACTCGGACCATAATCCTTTCGTACTGGAACTATTGACAGTTTCACTGTCGGTCCAGAGTTATTTAAAACTCTCTGGAGCTGTTTTAAAAATATAATCAAATAAGCTGTAGTGGAAAACAAAAAAAAAACTAGTAGCAAAGAGCTAGATTATATATGTAAGTAAAAAAACCTATTATTGACCAACTTTTAAGTCTCTTATAACATTATACCTGAATTTTCGCGTACTGACTGCGATGAGACGCAAGCGAAGGAAGATTTTTTAAAGCCCTAGATCGTGGTTAAAGTTACACTACTTGAACTTAACAAAGCGGTCAATAAGGACTAAAAGATCGCTACAATACCATTTGGAAAGATAAAGTTGGTTTAGTATCAAATTCTTCGATTCGTTGCGGTCGTTACTAATATATTTATAAAATAATAATAATATAACGTCACCACTTACTTTTTTAGATTGAATGATTTACGATAATTTTGGAAAAGAGAATGCGTATACTACCTATCAAGAGATTCTATATAAACCTATTGTAACTGAAAGGAAGGTCGATGAAGGAGACCTAAATAAATGGTCTTTGAAATAAAGAAAAGCTCAAAGATTATTGCCAGCATCATTTAGCGAAACCGAAGCCACAGTGTCCAACCTATAAGTAAAAAGGCGGTATGGGTGGATAATATATCAGAAAAAGCGTTAAAACAACTTAAAACTCCTTTGCTACTGCGTATTACCTATAATAATCAGTGCTGGGTTTTTCTAGTACTGGAAGGTAGCTATAATTATTAAAGTACCAAATGTTTTCCTCCTTCTCCTGATGTGAGGCTTATCATCCTATCTAATTATTATCCACTTACAGAAAAGTATTAAAACGATAATTTTTAAAGGCTAGAAGGTGCTTAAACTCAGCTTACTTCAAATAGAAAAGGTCTTAAACGTCTTTACAAATTATACGCCTACTTGAACACATTACTAGAGAATTTAATCGCAAAAAAGTCACTAGGATTGTTTTGCTTAATGTCGAAAAGGCAGTTAACAAAGTTTGGCACGAGAAACTTTTATGTAAGTTGTACTTTCTTAAATTCCTCGTGTCTATAGCTAAATTCAACAACATTTGTAAAACCGATTATTTTAGTTACATGCGGTTCGATATCTTGTGTTCGTTTAGAAAAGTTCCCTAAGGTTCTGTATTTATCCCGTTACTTTTTTCGATTTATATGGTAAAGTTATCTATAGATAGTAACGCTAAAAAGCATAATTTTAAAAAGGATGTTACACTATATTCCTCTTCTAAGGCTTCTGCATTAAATACATTTATAACTAGTTCCTCTTAATGGAGAGTAGAGTGGGCCAAAAATAGAAGATGAAGTTAATATGATTAAGACAAAAGGGTAATTAGGCACCCGAAGAATGCCTTATACATAACAGAGATAATCCTATGATCTTCATAAATTAACTATTTGACATTTAATATGTAAGAAAGTTAAGATAAAATAAAACATACAGCTTATGCTATAAACAAAGCTAGGAAGGCTGTGGCTCCTCCCTACGCGTGCCTAAAACGGAAAAGTGAAGTAATTTTAAAATACCAAGTTGTTGGTATGCAAGATTATTAGTCCAATTTTAACTTATGCATCTCCTATCTGGTGGTACTGCTCTTCTCAGCTGTTAGGATAAATTAGCGTCCCCATAATAGGATATTAAGCCTCCTTCAAATGCTCCGTGGTTTATTAGCAATGCTCAACGGTTAAAGTTTAAACCATCGAAGAATTTATAGAGCATTTAGCGAAAAATATATTTGTAAAGAGGGAACTGCATGAAAACCTCTAAGAAAGGCAAGACTTAAGTTTGTTCTGGCATGGTATAGCGAAATTATGACCTGCAAATTTCGAAACCATGCCACTACATACACTAGATCAATGGTGACCTCACACCAGTGGATCGAAAAAAATTTAAGTAAAAACTTTTTTCCTATTTTTCGATTCAAATGAAATATAAATAGTACTAAATAAAGGGATTTTAGAGTTTAGAAAAGAGAGGATGTTCGTGGACACTGTTATAACCAATACCTTTTTATGAAGGGCAGGATGAATAACAAGCAAGCATACAGCGCTAGCATAACGCCCTTGCCGACTGGTGTGTCTTAATTGGAAATTTTCTATAAATCCGATGAAGAGCAAAGCACTTCTAATTACCAAGAAACACGTCCTCTTGTTGACGTGAACTCCATAGTTCTCAAGCGAAATACTTGGAGTCATCACTGACAACAAGTTTTCCTGGCAACCGCACTTTGACTAGCTAGTGTCGAAGGTCAAGGCAGTGACTAAGGTGCTTTACCCTTCGTTATGGGGCAGGAGCACGCTTTTCCTGCGAGCAAACGGCAATTATATATGTCTTACATCCAGTCAACAATGACATACCCCATCTGTTGCCTGGGTCCATGACTCCACCCCAATAGGGTCAGCAGTTCAAGTGCGACAAAACAAATTGCTATGCGTGAGGACGAACGTTTCGTGGTCTGTGAGAAAGGATGACCTTCAGCGGGACCTTCAGATGGGCTCTTCAGACGTCATCTTCTTCATCTTATTGCCAATGCCCTTTACAGACAGGCTAGCTTGGCACACTAGTCGCCTGCGGGTAAATGAATTTATTTACGAGTCATAGGACGGGGCACGTTATAACGGCCGACGTGACGCACATAACGCTAGTTTTTGTTTGTTAATGTCAAGAAAAAAACCTTTTCGATTGAATGCTTTTTGTGGTATGTCTGCGATCTCTCTTGATTGGGAGCTCGAGTATTATTCGAAGTTTTTTGACTCGATCGAGCACCAAAAACTGTGATATATAAATAATGTATATTAGAACTTCTCTTAAATTTAAAGTTTTTTCTTAAACTTTTACAAGAAAAAATTTTTCAATCCCCATTTCCAATGGGGCAAGTTCAAACTATATTTTATACCATTTATATGATGTTATTAAAGTTTAAAAAGCCGATTATGTTTTCGGCTCTTTCGTAAACATCCACAAGAATAATTACATATATACTAACTTATTAATAATAATTAAGCGAACCACAACATTATAAGACAAGAACTAATTAAGCATTATTGGGATTAATGAGGTTACAAAACGCAACCATCAAAGGCCGAAAAAGAGACTCGCGTCGGTGGGAGTCGGACCCACGACCTTGTGTATGCTTATCAATGCTCCTAACCGCTGAGCTACGACGACAATTCTCGATCAGGGTGTGATATCTTTACCTATTTACTCTGTTAAGCACCGCTAAATCTGTAGAAACTATTCTCTTTGTTAACCTTCATTATACTACTTATTCGATGCTTTCTTAACTTTTCGCCGAAATTGATTATCAGAGAAATTTTTTCGCATAAAAGTCATCCACTTATAACCAGTTTAGCAGACTCATTGTCCACATGGGTCTTTTTCGTTGTTAAGCTTTATGCCATAACCCTCTACTACTTTATTACTGTTTTTAGTGTGTGTCAACTTTTAATTTGTGTTGATATTAATGAAATTCGTATAGGATAGTGTAGATCTCATGAGAAACTTAAGTGTTATGGTTCTCTTTGGACGCAGTAATATTTTATTATAATTGAGGCCAGTTGGAGAGTAAACTCATCTAAATTAGTCAATTTCAGTTAATAAATCTAATTTTTTTTATAGTTATATTGATAACTAATTTATTAATATTAGGCAACCGATTTATGATCAACCTTCGAATAAGATATTATTATTTAGATTTAAAAGTTGGAATTTACTTGGCTGTATCTTTGCTGATAGAACTGTTCATCTTCACTTTATCCTTATCGTTACTTCCGGAGAAACCAGACAGCCTCCATGGTTAGCAGGATGTTGCCACTGAATTTGCGCCGAAGTATGATCTTGTGTGTAGACAACTAGATGGTTGATCTTCTTTGCACCTGTCGTAGTAGCTTTTTATTACCTCATATTCGTGGTATTTCTATCAAAAATATGTATGACCATATTTAGTATTTCTATTTTTAGATACATGCTGAAGCCTTATCAAAAAAGAAATGTCAGTTTATTGTTTTTGTCGTAAACTGCCCTTTTTAGGTCAATTATTATGGTTTTTCGAAAGATTTATAAATGTTTTTAATAATATACATGTCGTCGCTTAAATTTTTGTAAACATTCTTTCTCGGTTATAATATCCTATTAATAGCTTCAAAGCTTACGCTATACCGATAAATTATTATTATGGGTTTAAACATTTATGAAAAAAATATTACTCAGTTTTAAAAAAATAATATTGGGCCCTGTCAAAATAAAATGGAGAATATATAAAGAATAGAAGATGTACCAAAAAAAATTACGATAAAAATCAAGAGAAAAAAATAAAACGAAAGGACAGAGTAGAGTATTCAAAATTAGTATATGCTTTATATATATGATTTTTCAGCATTGATAAAATTCTTTTACATCATCAATAAACTCAAGAATGTCTATATTGGAAATATGCGTTACATTAAATTGTCCATATCTATTTTCACAAAATCCTACTTTAGAAGAAAGAAGATAATACGACTCAACATCTACTGAAAGAGACAAAGAAGCTATAACATGGTACGCTTTACTTTGCTTTATGGACATTAGTTTTATTCAACTGTAAAGTTTAAGAGGGATAACCTAATGATGGACAGGAAAACTTTGCGTTAAGAAACTCAAATATTCCTCTAAAATAAATTTGATAAAATAGACAGTTTTATACGTACTCTTCCAGTTGAACCTAGCTGGGAAAAAACAACTCTTCCACTAATATGTCACATCTCTGGTTAAAATTGCAGAGAAATGTCAGATCACTGCTTAAAGTTCCGAGCGCAAAAGCAAACAGGCGGTAGCATTTAGATTAGGTATGCAAAGAATTAACTTTCCTGAAACAGTCTGGTCAAAGTAGGAAATGAAATGTGCAAAAGGAACAAGCTATGGTTATATGATCCAATTACAGTGCGCAGTTAAAAAGAAAACAAAAAAAAAAGGTACGCTCTTGCATTTATATTTTAACTGGTAGATTTAATCTATAAAGATTATTTTAAAATTGTGTATATACGTTCTAATTTAACAAAAACAAGATTTCTATCTTTCGTTTTTGTGGTATCTTTTCAGTCTTTAATGCTCTAAAGAAGTTTTAGCTTTATTATCTAAGCAAGTTTAATATTGTCTTGGTCTATAGGGTCGAATAAAAGGTAAATAGTAATTGTCTAAGGATAGTTTATTGGGAGCTTAACGTCTAGAGGGCGTACATTATTAAAAGAGCCTAAAAGCTCGAAAGGAAATTTTAAATACAAGCATCTATCAAAAATACGGTGACTTTAATCTTAATGAATGGAGTTTTTTTTTTAAATAATAAAACGTGCTTTAAGTGTAGTAAAAATTAATTAAAGCACTTGTTACAGAAAAGTTATCTTAGTAGCACTATTGTAGGTAGGCTAAAAAATAGCGTGATTGAAGTACCTAGAATAAGAGGTATATAATTCTATTTAACGTATTACAAGTTATATCACAGTAATTACACTGTCCCTACACACCGCCTTAGAGACCACACCTAAGAGCGGAGAACAACAAACTTTTTATCTTTTAAGTCTTCTCTGCTAAAAGAGGAGGCCATGTTAATCAAATAATTCCTATAATCAACACATGACTGAAATTACACGGTATTAAGAAACTTCCCTTCCAAAATGTTATGTGGCCAGCAATGCATTAATATTGAGAATTTCAGTCCATCGAAGGATTTATTGGCAGCGTACCTGAAAACGTTTCAATAACAGTAAATTAATCAAAGGCCACTTATTGGTAAAAATGAAAATGTAACTTAAAAGTTTACTGATGCACCATTAGCGCACAATTAATGCTCGAAAACTTAAGTACGAATAAAACTGAATTCGAATCACTCAAAGTATTATTTAAGTTAATGGAAAAATTAAACCGTTCGTTCTTGATTTTAACGTGCATCTTCATAAGTCATTAATAAAGAAAACTAATCAACAGCATCTCACATCGATGGTTCTCGGCAGTTTTAAAAAACTCGTCAAAGATTCTTGCTAGTATCATTCTTGCCTTGTAAAACGCTAATTGGCCCATCTACTATTCTTAGAATGGTCATATCTAGGTAGTATAAGTATATTGCGTATACTCAACGTACATAAATATTTATTAGACAATTTATATATAATACACAGAAATTAGCTGTCCCTTTATACCACAACGCTCTTTACGCTGGAAACAAAGACCGGGGAAATTCGATCCCCACTTTGGGGCGTGCTAGCTTTAAATATTAGCGGAGATGCTAAATTAATGAACGCACGTGCATTATGGCAGCACTTTTTTATTTTGTCCAACTCGTATAAGAGGCAATAACGTAAATGCTCCGTCGCGCCTGTCTTAGAGAAGTCGTTACGCTCGTGACGCTTTATCGGAGTTCCAGTTCGGATATCGAAAAGGGCACTTAACCAACCGGCAGGTCCTTGCCTTACTAAATGGACTACTCGCGCCTATAAGTCAACAAACACTGTCTTTATTAACTTTGAGAAGGCCTTTGACCAATTTGGCATGAAGGGCTCTGCTGCTTAAGCTGCGCTCGTTAACCGTCCATAGTAAACTTTACGAGGAGGCACTAAAGTCATATGTAAACGGTCGCGTCTTCAGAGGCATGTGGGAGATATATAGTCGCCTTTGCGATCACTAACAGCAGGGGTCTCTCAGGGACTTCTTATCTCGCCTCTACTGTTCGCAATTATATGCGCGAAGAGCCCATGCCAACCAAATCTCACACATGTGTCACCCTACACGCCGGAGATGTAACCATTTACTCGTCATCGAATTCGCCCGCACTCTTTGCGAGCATCTACAGTTTTACCTTGACGTCTCGCCGACTGGTGTCGTATAATGGAAAGTTGCTATAAATGTGACGAAGAGTAAAGCCCTGATAACGAGGTAACACGTAGCCTCGATGGGACCCTAAACCTTCGATGCAGGAAGATACCGTGGTGCTCTCCAGCGGAATATTTGGGTGTCGTGATCGAGAACAAATTTTCGTGGCGGCCGCACATGGTCTACGTGGGAACGGCGACTAAGGCGCTTTAACCGCGCAATAAACCCAATTGTATGTGTTTTGTGTCCAGGCAATAACGACATACGTTTCTGCTGCTTGGACCTATGATTTCACGGCAATAGCACCGCAATACAAATGCTACAAAACAAGTTGCTGCGCGTGGAAACAAATGCACCGTGGATTGTACGAATTGAAGCCCTTGCTCTTCATGACAGGCTAGCCAAAAACACTAACAGCCTGCTGGTGAGTGAACTTATATACGAGTCATAGGGCGCACGTGACACGCACAAAGTTTTTTTTTGGTTTCACGAGTGTTGTTCTAAACCCCACTTGGCGTAGTTTTCACGATTTAACTATAGCGCCTTAACTATATATAATAAAAGGAAAGTACAAGTATAATTCTTTATTGAAGAACTTCGCCCTATTTTCGAAAAATTTTAATCTCTTAAGCAAGTACCTTATATTCATAGTTTAAACGCTGCTAAAGGGCGCCCATGTATTCATAAATAATCTCTGGTTCCCACATGTTAAGTAACACCCAATCTTCAAATCTAATTTCAATTGGAGGGCGCATAGCTAACACAAGTGTGAAAGCTAGAAGTAATCGATATAACCGGAAGGTAATTTGACTACCTCCTGATTGAGTGCTCGAGTATTGAAAGATTTCGACCCAATCGAGCACAAAAAAAAAGTCGTTTAAAAATGAATACTCCCGCTTTCATGTTCACATTAATAAACTTTGAAATACTGTGAGTAGTGAGAATGTATTACCAGTTAGTTTAACGCTTTAAAATTTTGACTACCCCTTTAAGGGTAATTCAGTCTCCTGAGAAAGCCCTCCGTCAGCTCTTGCTTTTTGTGTAGGATGGATATTTATTGCTTTATTACCCAAACAGCATTTTTTTTTAAAATCTTGTAAAGAACATTTTTATGCAATTAATGGGGTAGTGGGTTACATTTGAGATCAATGGCTTCCTATTATTATGTACTTTAGATATACTAAAAGTAGACACTTTGCGAATCCTACTTCTTTTGTGAAAAGGTAACGGCTTCGAAGTTGACTATAACTGCGCATTACCTAGATAATAATTATATGTACTCCCATTATGAAGACTTGAGCTTTCTTTTAGCTTGGCACGTATAAAGCAACGCCAGTAGTATACCTTGTCAGGTTTTTGAATAAAATGTAACTCTTGATAATATGTACCTTTTCTGGATCTTGAAGGTTAATTAACAGAACTATAAACTTTAAATTATTTAAAGTCTTTAAATATTAGCACTGCTCATAGAAAATAAGGATAGACCACATGGTATTCTACTGTGAGTCTAAGCATTAAACAAATTTGCCACCGTATGGATACTTATCTTAACTTAGCATAAAAATTATTTGCAAAATGGTTAAACTTTTTTTGAGCTATTGAGATCAAAAAGGTAGGTTTCACTTTATTAATAATAAATTAGCATCGGCATTAGTTAACCAACTCTCAAGCTTTTTTATATGGTAAAGCAGCGTATCTTAAATTCCTTACATAATTGGGAGCAAACCGAGACACTATAGTACACCAACGAGGCCGTCACACAGAAGAAAGTGGCCAATAAGGCTAAGTCGTGATTAACTAACTCTAATCTAACGTTTATGCACAATCCAGCAAGCGCCAAGAAAATTTGGTCTAAATCGAAAAACGCTTAATCAAAAAGGGCCAGTCAAAATTAGAGAAAGGTGTACCGTAATAAGGCAAAGGCGTCCTCGACATGTGTGCTACGATAAGCAGGCAAATAACTTTAGCCAGTGCGGTGCCAAAAGTCATCAAGTACAAGGAAGTGTTAGAGAGGTACAACTTTTCATAAGCAAAAGTGCTAAGTAAAACATTTTTAACTGGTATATAAGTGATTTGAAAAAGTAAAAGGTACGCTCAGTACTAACAATAATATTCAATGACCGTAACTTAAATTTTATACAGGAGACTTATGGTAAATAGGACTAATGTTCTTTTAATAATCTACTAGTAAAATTTGATAGCATTGCTCTTAATTAGATGTTAAAGGTAAAAAAAAAAATTATTTTAAATTTTATAGGGAATATTTCAATTAAGTAAACTGTTTGAAGAGGCAGTGAAGTTAATAAAAAGGAAAAGAGAAATTAATAATGGAGGTAATAATTAATCTATAAGTGCAACGTATAAAATTGCAAGCATTGACTTACTAAGAATACAACGCCATAAGAACGACCACACCAAAGGGGATGATTGGCTGAAGAACACTTGTTTGAGCCAAAGTGGGTTTGTCATTTTTAATAATGATAGAACTGTTACAAAAAAAATAAATTGCAAAAAATAAGCAGTGATAATAAGAACATTACTAAACTAGACTAAATACATATACAAAAGTCGTATAGATAGTAACATGCTTAAAGAGTAATAAAAGCGAAACCGCTTTTTATATTATATAGATATAAGCATAGTAAACCACTTAATAATAGAAACCAGATATTGTTTATATAAAGCACGAGCCAGAGAAAAAATTCAAAGACAACAAAAATAAGAAGGGAAGAAACATACTATAAATTTGAAAAAGAGGTAAACATTCCACAAAGCAATAACAAAACTTGAAAGCATCTGCCAGTGCTGACCATTCCAAAAAAGGGCTGAAGAAAAGAAAGTTGCAGATGCCAAAATTCAGCACCAAAAAAAAAAGTAAGCAGATGCAGGAAGATTAAAATCCATTCTCCTAAAAAAAGGCGTAAAATTTATATAAGTTTGGTTACAAGAAAGATAAAGCCACTATCCCAAGAGGAGCACTAATGCCTAAGCATTATCACTCGAAGTAAAGTTAACAAAAAACGAAGATCCGAATATACTGCTGAAAGATTTAAAAAGCACGAAGGACTGCCTTTAATTAAATAAATATGAAACTGTGTTCACCTGCAGTGGTATCAGCAAAGCCGAATTCGAGTTTCCCTGTAACAAAAGTTTTCCAGTGAACAGAGTAAAAGGTGAAAAGAGAGATTAGGACTATATAAAAAGTGATCCTCTGGGGACCACTTTGTGTTGCAATGCAAGCGCCAAGAATCTTTTAATGATCGAAAAAGTTTAATAAAATTAATTATAGCAAAGCTATATTTAAGTCAGAGGTTATAAAGAGTATTCGACTACTAAGACAAGCTCGGCTAGCTTGTAGTGCGCATTTTCTTTTATTAAATTAATAGTTCGCACTTTTAAACAAGCAAAAACTAGTAAATATGAAAAGGTAAAAGACAAAAGACAACTACACTCCTTCACCATCCACTATCAGCAATTTTTTGATATACCATTAAAAGACAGTTGTAAGCATCTGAGCCGTGGTCAAATAGCTCGCCTAACGGACTGGAAGTTCCAGTTCGGCGCGCTTGCTGTCCATCAACAGCTATACCAGTAAATAAAAAAATAAACAAAACTTAAAATCTACTAAGGTAAGCCCTATAATTTAGTCTTTAGCTTTACTTAATAAATATTAAAGAACCCAACGCTACAAAATAAGTATTAAAAAAATAGGACGTTAGTGTACCATCTAATGTCTGGTGTATAAATATTGATAGTGACATAATTAAGTAAGTCCATGGAATTGCCTTTGAAATGTAAAAAAAGAGAAAGTTAAAGCTTTAAAAAAAAATAACAGAAAAGTACTTCGTTAACTCCAAAAAAAAACAATAGAATATATATAAATAGCAAGAAGTACATACCTGGCCATAACTCTGCGGGCACTGTACTATGAGAAAGTATGTTGAGCAGATATTAACTAATAACCCTATAAAGGTAAGCAAGTTAGGAGCAATCCAAAGAGGAAGTTTAAGGAGAATCCAGTCCCAAAAAGGGCGCATAACAACCTAGTTATAAAAAGAAGACAAAAACTTGTTTTCTTAGAACTAAAACTGAATAGTTAGAGTATAAAAAAATTACTCTGGCTATTATAGAATTGTCTTCAGCAGAATATTTGTGATTTCTCAAGCCTTTAATAATTTAGAAATTTTGTACAATGCAGAAGTCAAAACGATTATTGTACCTTTAAAATGTCGTGCAGTTAGCACGCCCGAAGAAGAGATAGTTTCCATATCTCTGAGGAAATAAGTTAAAAGTTAAAATGCAAAAACTTTACAAATGGGTAATAATTTCACGAGCTAAGAAAGCTTCGGCATTAAAAACATGTTAACACTTTTAAAAAAGGCTTTTGAACTTTACCCACAAATCGTGTTAGAGGTTAACCAGTTATAAAACTTGGATTGTCACGAATATCCCAAGTTGGCAAAGGCTGGTGTGTTGAGTTAAATACTTGGCAACTATACGTTATTTAATCATAAGAATAGTTGGATAATAATAATTTTTTCAAAACTAATTTAGACCTATGTAACCGATTAGGGGCCCTAATGAAGAAGAAGATTTAAAAAAATTTTAGGTTTAATTTTAATGCCCTTGAAAAAAAAATGCAAACTACGAAGTTAGTATAAGTGCAAAAGGGGGATGCGCCTTGAAAAACGCTTTTTTTCACTACTTAGTGTTATACGTTGTATAGAGTATTATTTTGGTAACAATATAACCGTCATGTTAAGTGTTGCATTAACAAAGGAGTAAGGAATAGATAAGTAGCTTTCAATAGCAAACAAAAATTGGTCTTGGGTATATTAAATAGTTTTTCCTTAATATAGCCGAGTACATATATAGCTTTACTCTGACTTCATTTTCAAGGCGTTTAAACAAGACTTTAAGAACTTTAGATAAAAACTCTAAAGTCACCTCTTTGTTTTTATTGCGATAAACTTTATCATAGTTTTTTAAAAGTTTAAATTAAAGGGTATTTGCTTTTTCATTCTGATAAAAGCAGCATTAATTTGATAGAATAACCTAAGATAAAAATAAGTAAAAGCGGTGGTTCTAAGTGACAGCAGGAGCAATAATTGTATAATAACTTTAAAACATGGGTTCTATTAAAATTTCAAACATTATGATAACCAGGATTAAAATAATTCCGTGTATATCCCCGTGTTTTATGGTTTAGAACCAATAATAAACATAAAGGGCGTAGGCTGGATGGTAGGCCCCGTAGGTGGGGTTGAGTAAATTTATTTATCGACATTAACCTAATTAAAGGTATGAGAAGTGTAAGTACTCTTCATACCTTTAAAAAATTTAGTTTTGGCTCTTTTTCTTTAATTTTTTACGGTAGTATTAAGCTATTAACTCTACACCAATAGGCAGAAATTACACCTTTTTAAAGTAAATAACCGTTGGTGGGTGACAGTTGAAGCCTTGGTTTGCTGGTTGGTGTTGCCTGGTAGTAAATCTCTTGAGAGACAACTTTATTAAAACGCCTAGGGTCCAATAAAAGGTGTGCAAAACTAAATTTACTATAATATTTAAAATGTTAAATATTCGCATCATTAGGGCGATCATCGAATTTTACCTACAGTTCAGTTAAACCATAGTATATTTGTTAATTTTGTATATTGTTGATTTCACAGACTGTAAGTCTTCGTGAAATTGTATATTACAGACAGAAAGTAATATAGTACAAGAATGTCGAAGTACTAGAAAGCACCATATATTTATTTGAGTACTGCAGACTCCCAGAAGCACTAAACCCAACCGCACAACAAAGAAAAAGAAGAAACTGCAGCGGGAGCGCGAGGGCGAACTTATAATCACATGTGTACCTCCCTTGAACAAAGCCTCATTCTAGAAACAAAAAATCATAGGTTACGAATAAATTAATAGTTTTAAAAAAACGAATAACTATACTGGAACTGCAATGGGTGCCATTTATAGTATTTATAATTGGTCTTTCCAGGACCTTACAGATGAATGATTCCTACTTTTTCTTTGGCACTCATAAGAATAAAGGGAATGTTCTATCAAATATCTAGGAAGGGATATTTTTATATTACGGCTTGTTTAATTAAATTACTTTAAATTTTTTATTGAATATAGATCTTATTATCATAGTTTTCGTAGAGACCCACATTCCTTACTATGGAAGGCTAATTATTAAGATTAACTTGTTTTCAAAAATTGCCTGAGCGTTAACAGCGTTTAGTATACAAGGACAGCGCAAAGTTTAAAGCTTCTAACTATCTTAAGTAAACGTTCACCCCTAGATTATAGCCTTTTGTATTTACTAACCCTTAAAGCACTACTTAGATGGGTTTGGGAAGAGTATTAAGTCCGCTTTTACTTTCAGAGAACACGAGAATTAAAATTAATTTTAGTGCTTATACGTTCAAAACCGCTTACTTCATTAGGTTAAAAATACAATTTCAGTAACGTTTAGAAAGGGTATAAGCCGTGTATTTCATTTATACAATTGTTAATGCTTCATCAATAACAATTGATCACACTTAAAAGATTTCTGCAACTTAGGAGATCAGTCTGGTTACAGAAAATATGTATAAAATCAAGTTAATTTTTATGGTAAAGTTGTAGTATCTAGGACAGCCACAATAGTTTACTAGGCGTTAAAATTAAGGTGCGCAATTTCATCTGATTATTTAATAAATTATTTCGATGTGAAATAACTAAGGCAAAAGTATAACATTTAATTTTAATATTGTTTATTTTTATGATAAAACCTTTTTTTTAAAGCTTATCTAAAGAAGGCAACATATATTTCCCTGAACGTTAATTTTTTTGGTTATTCTCCTTTCGTCTTTAGTATATTCCAACGAGTAAGTATCTTAACTAGGACTTTGAGGGCCATAACACACTTGAAATTTCTTTACAGTCCTGAAATGATGAAACTGTTGCGATTTCATTTTTGGTAGCATATGTTAAAATAGCCACCAATATTGGCGTCATGATGAGTTTAGTTTGGTGTAAGTACCTCTAGTACTGCATTGATAAACCACGAGAATAAGAGCTCAATGACCTACAAAAACTGGGTGGTTTACTTTGAGGTCTTACAGAAGATAATCATAAGGAGCTATATAATCTTAATACCTGTATATATATAGTGTAAGGTCCTTATAATAAACGGAATATGGTTGTTGCATATTCTAATTGTTTTATCTAACGGTACTTGAATTGAATAAACTGATAAACCGTTTATATAAGGGTAGATAGCTCAGTCTAACCATTCGACGCCGAGAAACAAGATATATTTTGTCGGGCGGTCTATTCGTTCTTTTGGGAAGTGTTAACAAACTTGGTCATTTCTACTTTCTTTAAATTGTAGACTCAACTAAGGGAATTCTAAAAAATTTTAATAATATTAGTTTTTAATTATGCACTGTTTTATTTGTGCTGGCTTGCTAAAATTATACTGGAATCTTTAATGTGAAAGTCTCCTTCAACGGGTTAAAGTTGTATTTTCTAATTAACTTAACTGAGACATTATTTCGCTTACTCTCAAAATAGCCACAACTGAAAAAGCTTCATTGTAAACAGGATTAGCTGTTACGTCTTACTGTGCTAGTTTGCCTTTTCTTTGTTGAACCTTGGGTGAAATTTCGGCGAAATATGCTAAGTTGCCAGAGTAAGGGATAAAAACCGTCCACTGCAAGTACTAAAGATTGAACGCAGAAGTTTTGACTGGTCTGGTAATGAGTAATGATTAACAGCACTATACCCCATCCCTGGGTCAGGCGTGTAGTTATATACTAGGCTACCTATTGATTAGTGCTATGAAAATAGTATCAATAAATAGTTAAGTGTCCGGCTGCACCAGTGTTAGTTCTTGATAAACGGATCGGCCTAGCTAACCGTGAAATTTACCAGGAGCTAATTAGTGTTATTAACCGGTATATCTATATATATGCAGTCGATCCCTGCAAACCGACTTTTTATTTTTACTTAATTATAAAATTATATAATAAACACCGTTAAAGCAATAGCTATATTAGTAAAAGATTTCATCTAGGGTTAAGTGGACCCAATTTTCACATATAACAAGAAATTAGTAGAAAATACAAGACCATAGGTTAATTAGAACAATACAGTACGGACTTGTGAATAGGATGGCACATTAAAAGGGAATGTAGAACTACGGTCGCGGTATGAGCGGTGTGAGTTAGAGAGACACATATTTGAGAAGCAGCAATATAATTGATAAAAAAGGAGTGTTTAAATTTTGTGCTCTTTGGGAATATCAAAGGAATATAATTTACAAGAGGAAATGGAAATAAGTGTTCTCTGGATGTCGTATTATTCGGGTCAGTTAGTATTTAGCCAAATACTAATTACAATTATTAAATTGAAGGAAGCTACCCAAGTGATGTTAGGAATAATGCTAAATTTATTATTATCACTGCTTTGGTGATGATAGTAAATCTTAAAGATTTTACAGCCTAATTTGTCTGCTAAGTCTAAAAAGTTAACTACTTTTAACCCGTCAGTGTAAGTATGATAATTAGTGGGTAACCCTTAATCTGCATTTCCACTATTTTTCATTATTTAAATAGGGACCAAGCATCATATAATTTTTAGTAATATTAAAGCTCTACTATGTACAAGCTAACCCTGATTTTCTAAATTTAATGTTAGTGTTAACGCGCCCCAAGTGTTATTAGCAAAATCACCCCTTTTGAGGGGAAAAAAGTATTATTCATAAAAAATATAAAAAAATAATATTATATAACTTTTATAAATTGAAGAATAGTTAGTATTATAATGAAGCTGTTTATTCTTTTTTTAATGGCCTTTATTGTTGTATATACAATTGTTAAAAATTTTTCGTTATATTATTAGCTTTCTTTATTATCGTTAACCAGAATCTTACTTATTTTCTTTTGACGAATTCTACATAAACGGAATAATTTTCTAAACGACGTCTTGGCGCCCTCTGTAGTTCTAAGCGTAGTAGTTGAATTTAGGAGGCAGTTACTAAAGTACTACGAGCCTCAAGCATTACAGTAGCAAGATCCTTCTCTCCATTTACCTGCTTTCGATGATTACGACACCAGCCTTATTAGATGGTGTTAGCTACATTTATCCTGGCTTATTTGAGAAAGATTACGAAAGTACTAAGTATGTTCTATACTAAATAATTTGGATAATTCGGAATTTAGGGAATATTTATACATTTATTGAGATAGATATCAAGGGAACAATACTACACTCAATCACATAAATAATTCTCTTCTAAATGATAATGAGTACTTAAGAC